TTTATATATTCTTTAACAAGTGTTTCATGTATGGAGAATGTAAACAAAGAAATGTAATATGTAAAAGAGATGAGAACTTAGGTTGCTGCAGACTTTTGTGGGGTTAAGAAAATGCCACACACATACTGTAGTGTTATATTATTCAGTTATATACAGAAATGCATACATGCATATATATATATATGTGTGTGTGTGTGTGTGTAAAGAACAGTGTGTTAGTGTGGCTGAAAATACTTGAATGGTTATTGTCCCTGGTAGCAGTACATATGTGACACATTCATACGTCATGTGATTAAGATGCAAAATACTGAATTAATATTTTTAGAGTGTGTGAGAGAGAGGGGTGTTAAAGTAGGTGTGAAATAGAGCAAGAATGAGAAATTAGGTCTTATTAATGTTATGTGGATAATGGAAAGATGTTGGTGACTTTATTTTATTCACAGAAGCATTAATTACAGAATGAAATGTTGAGAAATATGCAAATTTTCTCCATTAATTCCTGCATATATTTGTAGAGTCTTCTCTCTTCATGTGTGTGTGTGTGTGTGTGTGTGTGTGCAGATACACACTCACAGATAGAAAAAACACTGCTAGTAGTAGAAGGTGGGGCCATTTTCCCATCATATTCACCTCTATGGCTAAACTGTATTGCCCCAAGGTTAATTATAACATTGAAAAGCAGTTGGCCAAATACAGTGTGTTTGTATGTGTGTGTGGGTGGGTATGGGTTTGTTTGTGTGTGTGTGTGTGTGTGCATATGTACACATACATGTGTGCTTGCTTATTTGTGTGCATGTGTTCATTCACATATATGCATATAAGTTATATATATTTATGTGCAGGTTTGTCTTTTTGTGTATGTATGAATGCATACATGTGATACATTTTTCATTTTTTCTTTCTTTTTTTTTTCTTTTTGGTTTTTCTTTACTCTGCATAATGTGAGGGTTTGAGCATCTTTTACATCCTTGTCTTTCTTCTTTTACAAATTGAAAAATATTGAAATACCTTTATGGTTCATTGATGATATAAAAAATTAGAAGACTGTTCTCTGCACATCTGTGTATCTCTCATTAGCTTCCTTGTAGTGTAGTTTATTAGTATTACAGCATATGTAATTGGATATCAAGGTAAATTTGCTCCTTTAGAAAACAACTTCCATTTCTTTTATTTCAGCTCAGACACATCCAACTCAGTAATTTTATATGACTACTTCTCATGTTCTGTTAAACTACTTGGATGTGCCTGTTGATATTTTAGAAAATAGAAAAGTAAACTACATACACCATTTAAGAAAATATATTTGGCTAATGACACAAAACCTGCTGATCTAAGACACTTTCATGAAAGGGGAAGTGTGTACATATTTACATTTCCCACAACTAATTTTATATAAAAGTAATTTGAAGTGGATATCTTCTTGAATATGAATCTCCTACTAAACTTCAGTAGCAGTCCTGATGCTAAACTATTGCTGACAACTTTTTCTGCATATTCCTGAATCTTCTTGAAAATTTTATGAGCGATCCAGCTGTTACTTACATGTAAGTTTTGATAACAGATAATGATATAGCATTTTTATTATAGCAGAATTAAGGTATTCATTCTGTAAAATAACATCAACTCATGTAATTATCATACTTTCATTATATGTACCATCACATCAGTCCATTCACACCATATGGTAACATGTGATTTAGAATTAATCAGGAATAGGATAAATTAAAAGGAATAAGAAAAGGAAAAGAAACATTTTTTTTTCCTGAATAATATCAATTTGATTATGAATTCCATCTGTATATGTATATGTGTGTCTGAGCATGTATGTGCTGGCTTGTGCCATTCTACAAGGGGTGATCTAAAAATTTTATGGGTGTAAGGAGAGAGAAAAAAACATCGATCCAGTTTAAGTTTAGCCTCCCTAGGAACAGTGGAACTTTTTGAGCACACCTTTTGTAAGGGATTTAAATCTATTTTTGTTTAATTAATCAGATATAGAACTTCAGTTTATCAGAAGTTTGTTTCCTAAAAGCTTGTTAGTTTTTGGTAGTACATTATTAATTTAAAGCTGTCATATGAAATGTAATTAAATAAAGTATGTATGACTAGAGCTTAATTTGAGATTTAGGAGTTGAAGTAAACGCACATGCACGGACACATACACTGGTTCATACCCTTGCAGTCTCTGTCTCTCTCTCTCTGTCTCTCTCTCTCTCTCTCTCTCTCTCTCTCTCTCTCTCTCTCTCTCTCTCTCTCTCTCTCTCTCTCTCTCTCTCTCTCTCTCTCTCTCTCTCACACACACACACACACACACACACACACACACACACACACACACACACACACAGTAGAATAAATAGAAATTTTTAAAATATTAATTTGACATTGTCATAACAGGTTCGGAGACAGTACATTTATCTTGTATGAAGAATGGTCTCTGCAGAGTTTAATATCTGATATTATATTAACTGCATTTTGTATAACATGGCTACTGTTATGAGAATGATGATGTTCAAATTGACGCTAATGATTATGGGAATCAGACCTTATAACATAAACTGACATACTCATCATGCCTGTAAAGGAACCCAAAGATAACAATCATAGTGTAAGAAAAGATTTGTCTGTGCGCGTGTGTGTGCATGTGTGTGTGCATGAGTGCATGTGTGTGTACATGAGCGTGGATATGTGTGTGTGTGTGTGTGTGTGTGTGTGTGTGTGTGTGTGTGTGTGTGTGTGTGTGTGTGTGTGTGTGTGTGTGTGTGTGTGTGTGTGTGTGCGTGGATACGTGTGTGTGTGTGGATGCGTGTGTGTGTGTGGATGCGTGTGTGTGTGTGGATGCGTGAGTGTGTGTGTGTGTGTGTGTGTGTGTGTGTGTGTGTGTGTGTGTGTGTGTGTGTGTGTGTGTGTGTGTGTGTGTGTGTGTGTGTGTGTGTGTGCACGTGCTCATGTGTGCATGCATGTATGGTCCAGTTTTAAAATTAGCTATAGCCTCTAGGCCCTAGGGACTCGGCTGTTTGCATCTCATCACCTCCCTGCAGCAGGAGCACTTTTATAGACACATGTCAACAGATGCTGAGTCATGTCTTTGGATGTTTTGATGTTTTGCATATGTGGTTGAAAGAAAAGTGCTAAACTGTGTATGAGGAGGTCATGTGCAGCTGAGATCATGGAGAAGTTGGCACTGAGAGACTTTGAGAGAAAAGGGGAATGGACCAGCTTGTTGGAATGGACCAGATGACCCACGGCACATCCACAGACATGCACAGCACGAAGGGTGTAAATTAATTTGTAGTGAAACAGAAATATTAGTCATTTCTTTACCCACACATTCAATACACCCTCCCTCTTTCTTAGAACAGGTAACTGTACAATTCTTTGTAAGTATCTGTGGGAATGTTTGCATTTGATATTTTTTTTGAGTGATTGTCCATATCTCTGTGTGTGAGTATGTGTGAAAGATAAAAAATTACCAAAGAAATCCCATTCTTCTGCACCCCTCCCCCCCAAGTAAAAAGAAGAGGAAAATAGGATTCATGAATATTCCATATTTATCACAGCAAAGTTTGTTCCCTTTACAAATATTTGCCTTTTTATAAGCTTTTCCTGTTTACTATTGCCTTTTCAGTTGTCATAAAAAGCGAACAGTGCAAGAATGTTACGTTTTATTTAATGTTTTAAAATACATAGTGGTCTTAAAATAAGGATTTGAAATCTTCAGGCATTCTTTGGTTTTATTACCAGTAGACTTCAAAGAGAAGGTAAAGGGGAAATTTAAACATTTGTAGTGCAAATATTATGTTGAGTGTCACAAAAAGATGAGCTTTATATTTTATTTTATTTTGTTGATTTTATTCCTCCATTGCAAATGAAAACTTATGGCTAACTTAGGGTATTAGAATTGAAGTAATATAAGCATGTATGTTGATTTTTGGATGAATGCTTTTTTTATTATTTCTGGATGAGGATGCTGCATAAGTTGTGTTTATGGCAGACAGTCACTTAGTTGTTATGTGGTACCACCTGTTATACGGTTCAGTAGCATAGTGGCAATGCTGTTTATAGATTATAACAATCCTTGCTGAATACATATGAGCCTGTTTTAGCCTATGAGACTGTACCTAATATTTATGTTTTTCAGTTTTACTTTGTTATTTACTTTTTGTGTAATTTTAATAGTTATTGGGAGTAAATCTACAGTGCTGAAAAATTCTGGTGTATGAAGGTGCAGCAGATTTAATATGCATGTGGCATCATGAATTCAACAGATGTGCTTTTAGGCAGTTAACATATGTGTTCTAGCTGGGTGCAAGTGGCCTTAATGAATGAGCATTCATGCAAGGACGTACATGAACTGTCATTCAAGTGTTGCAGACTTGTAAGCAGATAATTAGGTTTCAAGATCCTTTAAATTATAAATTAATATTGTTACAATTAATAATTGGCAAAATGTATGGAAAATCATTAAGGACGGAAGCATTTCACTCTATAATATCTTGAATTGCTTACCGCCATAAATTCTAAGATTTTCATTGTACTTGTATGCCTTTTTTGGGATGGGAATTAGTGTAAGTTCTCTTCCATTTTATGCATCTCAGACAAAACTATTCAGAAGATAGGAGCTTTCACTCGACAAAATTCCTAAAGGTTGTAATGTTGGACTCTCACTGAAATGCAGTCACCAAATTACTGAAGCTAAAGATCTTTTTTATTACTCTTATAATGCATAGTAAATATTATAGGCATAAATATGATGGTTTCCTAATTATAGTCTTAACAGGATATGTGATCTGGGATAGGATAGACATGTGACCTCAAGGTTTGAATTTAGTCATCGATATTATCTTGATATTGTAAATGCTGTTGAAGCTGAAGAACCTGGTCAGACTTCTCGATACTTTGCTCAGAAACTTAGAGTTATATATATGTTTATTTTTTAATTTTTATAATAAGAAAGAAGTTATTTTTCCCACCGTACTTTTTCAACATTAATACTCAAT